AGCAGTGAAATTTTTCAAATCAGGTTGCTCTGCATCAGGATCTTTCTCCTTTGGGGTCTCATCACCTCCTGGGGTTGCCTCTCCTTCATTTGGTTTTTTTCAAGCCTATCTGCATTGTGATTTTTTGTATCAGAGCTCTTTGCAGCAGGCCTTTTCATTGCACCACTTGGTGATATGAAGCCCAAAAAAGATTGAGCCAGAATAGCTACTGTACAAGGCAACTTTGTGAATCACAAGAATTGTTTTTTATTCACAAGGTTTGTTTTTTGATTCACAAGACGGTTTTGTGATTCACAAGATGGTTTTGTGATTCACAAGATGGTTTTGTGATTCACAAAATGGTTTTGTAAAATTTGTGAAATGTCTTGATTTTGAAGTTTTTTATTTATTTCATAAGTAATTTATTTGTGTATTTGTTGTGCTATTTTTTGATTGTTCAAATTAAATATTTATTGAATTACTCTATTTTGGGCTCTATTTTCAGCTTTGTGCATTCCTAGGCTCTATTTCAAGCCATTTTACTTTTTTTGCTCTCTTTCAAGCCTTCATGCACAGTCTACCACAGCTTCAGCTTGTTGCTGTAGTTTTTTCTTTCTGCAGCCTTATCACCCCAGAGCTTGTTCAGCTTCTCAAGTTTTGTTTCTTTTGCAGTCCTCAGTCTGATCAACCCAGCTCCTTGAGCTGGACTGGCTTGCTGTCTTTGGCTTTTTTCCAAGCCTCAGCAAATTGGATTTTTTGCCACTCAACAAAATGCTGCTGATGGGCAAACAGCTGCTGTTCCTTGAGCATGGCCTGCTGGTGCAACATTCCAGCCGAACTGACCAGCTCCTGCTCCCTCAGTTGCAATCCCCCTTGGCCCTTCTTGCTTGGATTTCTGCATCCTTCAGAAACCACCATTGTTTGTTTCAAGCCACCATTGCAGATCTAAGCTCCAGAAGCCTTGCCTAGGTCATTCCTTTTTCACGAGCTGGAGCCTCCAAGGCATTGATCACACCAGCATGGCCTTCTGGATGGCTGGCCCCCATGTTCTCTGTGCAGCTGATCAGCAAGATCCATTGTCCATCTTTCATACCTTGCAGGTATGATTGCTATGAAGCAATCACCTTCCTGACTTTGCTCCAAGAACAAAGACCTGGCTCTGTTGCAAGCCTCCTCTTGGCAGATGCAGCTGCTGCAGGCTTCTTCTGGACCTTGACCTGCACAGAGGCAGCTGGCTTCTGCTTCACTTTCTGCGCAGGCTTCTTTGTGGCTTTGGCAGGTGTTTCTTCTGCCAAAGCTTGGGCAGCTGCAGCAGCATCTGCCTCCAATTCCTTCATGTGGCTTGTGGGCTTGTTCTTTTTCAATGGCAAGCTTGCTTTGGTAGCAGGCTTTGGTGGGGTAGGTTGCATGTATCGCTTCATTTCTGGAGTTAAAGACACTTCTTCGACCTCATCTTCATCAGAGGCACTGGTGGCTGTGATTGGAGGGTTGGCTCTGTTGCAAGCCTGGCTCCAAGATCAGCAACTCTTCCAACTGGCTGGCAACTTGTCGACTAGTTTTCATTGTAGCTTGCCTCTTTTTGTTCTCATTGGTCCTCAACCTCCTCCAATGATTCAGCATGGTGGTGAAGTGGGTTGCAGTTGATCCTGCCCAGATGCGTGCTTTGTAGCACGATGTATTGTGGGATGCATTATAAATGAGCAATGCCTCCTTCAGCTGCCCTGGAAGGATTTCACCACTGCTTAGGGGGACCAAAGCTTTCAGCCGCCAGGCATTTTCCACAAGCCCTTGGGCTGAGGCTGCTTGCTTTCTACCTATCTTTTTGTAGATGCCTAAATCAAAGGCATCCAGGCTGCCTGGTCTACAGGAAGGATGGGTGATCTGTTCTTCCCACCCCTTCCTGACATGGCTCTCTTCCAAGCCCCAAGGATATGGAAAAAAGATAAGGGAAATTGTATGCGTACTTGAGCCTAAAGATTGCTGTGAGGTGCATGTCATGTCCAATCCTATCCTCAAAAACCAATCCCCAGGATCGGTTTTTACCCATCCTGGGGATCGGTTTTTACCAATCCCCAAAACCTATCCCCAAACCTTGAAAAACCAATCCCCAGGATCGAAAAAAAAACCAATCCCCAAAAACCAATCCCAGGATCGGTTTTTGAGGTGAAACCAATCGGGATCGATTTTTTGAAAAACCAATCGGGATCGGTTTTTTTCAAGATCGGATGCTCAGGGTCAAGCAATTCGCGAAGAACCAGCAATTGCAGCCCCAAGGGAACCAATCATTGCCAGTCCAAGTGGTGAAGCTTTAGTCCCACCACCGGCAATCGATGACAAGAAAAGAAAGCTGAAAAGGCTTTACGTCACCAAGAAAGACCTGGAGAAGTATGGGTACACAGCAGGTTGCCCAGCTTGTGACGCCGCACAGATTGGCAAAAGAACTTCAGGCGCCCAACACACCAACAGATGTCAAGAAGGCAGTCACTGGCATGCCACAGCCAATCAGTGGCAAGAGGCCTCAAATCCTTCATGGATACGAAAGCGAGAGCCACAAAAACGACTGGTCTACCGTCTGGCACCGAGTCACAAGACAGAATGCAAACAATGCAATCATTGAGAGTCGAGTCATGACAACTGACCTTCCACCAGAGATACCCAATGCAGCGCTACCTCGCAAGATGGACATTGTGACAGAACTGTGGTACGAACCAGAATTCGCAGACCACGCGATCCTGAACCACATGGAGAAAAGAGAGAACATGACGAACAACATGAACCAGCAGGATCACCAACAGCAAAAGCCAGAGTAGATAGAGACAAGAAGAGAAAAGCAGAAGGCGAGCGTGAAGATGAATCCGAAAGAACGAGAGACATCCAGAGCATTGAGATGGCCCTAGAAAGCCTAATCCTAGAAGACAGAGAAAGAGTGCTATCTAGCATCGACCCAGAGAAACCAGTGTGTGAAGAGAAGATTCCACTGCCAGAAGAAATGGCAGAAGAAACAAGAGACTGGTGGTTTTATGATGACATCAGTGGGAAAGAGCTCTTACCTGAAAAGGTAGAGAAAGCCAGAAAAGATGAGATCGACGTTGTCGAATCTATGGGAGTTTGGGAGAAGATCCCAAGAAACCAAGTTTCAAAAGGAACCAAAATCATTGGAACTCGAGGAGTTGATGTGAACAAGCGAGATGAAACCAATCCTCTCTACAGAAGTAGATTGGTGGCAAAGGAAATCAACAGAGGCTCAGGTTTTGACGAATTTTTCGCAGCCACGCCGAGCCTAGCAGATTTGAAGCTACTACTCACTATCACAGTCAGTGATAGCCTTCCATTGGAGAAAGGCGAGAGAAGCAAGACCAAGCAATCTTTCCTAGGATTTTTGGATGTGAAGAGAGCTCATTTCTACGCCAAGGCGCAGCCAGAGAACTTTATGTTGAGATTTCATCTGAAGGCAAGAAGCCAGAGGATGGAGATGTAGTTGGAAGATTGGTCAGAAGCCTGTATGGCGCCAGAGACGCGCCCATGAACTGGGAACTGACCATCGCAGAGTTCACGAAGAAGCTAGGATTTTTTGCTATCCATGTATTTACTATCATCCAGCTAGAGAACTTCGAACAGAAGTGCATGGAGATGATTTCGCGACAGTAGGAAATATTGAAGACATCAAATGGTTTCATACCTCAGCAGCCAAAGAATGGCAAGTTGTGGAACGAGGCATTCTCGGTCCACCTGGATCACCAAAAGCCAGCCAACAGATCAGAGTGTTGAATCGCATCATCACTTGGTCAAACGAAGGCATTTGGTGGGAACCAGATCCACGTCATGCAGAGTTGATCATCAAGTGGTTAGGCACTGGTCAACCAGGCAAGGTCAAGACACCATTGCGCAAGCCAAGTCAAGGTTCTTGTGAGTGCCGAAGATGCAACGATGTATAGATCTATTGCTATGAGAGCCGCGTATTTGGCACAAGATCGACCTGATCTGCAAACTGCAACGCGCTGGTCTACAGAATCCAACATCGAGGCACTGGAACATGCTGAAACCATTGGCAAGATGTGTCAGGTATCGACCAAAGAGTTGCACAGCTGTTTCCAAATCAGAGCACCTGCAACCCCTTCAATACGCGGTCAGACACCGACCATGCAGGATGCATAAGGACACGAAAAAGTGTGTCAGGAGGCGTGCTCATGGCCAACAAATGCTGTCTCACTACCTACAGCAAAGGCCAAGGAGTTGTCTCCCTTAGCAGTGGTGAATCCGAGTGTTTGGACTTGTTTCTGGAGCATATCAAACGCTTGGAATTGCATCAACTGCCGAAGACTGGGGATTGTTTCCCAGCAAAGAGGTGACAATGGACGCTTCCGCTGACATCGCCATGGGAAACCGTCGAGGCTTGGGACGAGCTAAACAGGTTGACACTCAGTACCACTGGGTACAAGAGCGTACAGCAAAGAAAGAGTTTCGTCTCAAGAAAGAAGGCACCGACCGAATGCTGGCCGACGTGCTAACGAAAGCTGTCACCGAGGAGAAGATGACCATTGCAATGAAAGGCATGAACTTCCACTACCTGGAAGGTGAACATGAATTAACACTGAGGGCTTGAACGGCTTGAGCTAAAGTAGGTACTTCTTCCTGACCAAGATGTACTGAAGGGCTACGAGCTAATTCACTCATGTGCTAATCCTGACTCGCTTAACGTCTCTCCGAAGTTAAGCTCAGGAGGCGTGATCAGATGTAGCACCAGTTACATGTACATGCCATAGTTGTGTATAGATGTATGTTTCACTGCAGCCGTTTGGGATCACTTTGTGTTCACTTGGACTTACCTGATCGCATTGAAGCGTGAGCTAAAAGAGTGCCTCTAACCTGTGGGACTGCGACTTGTGGTCACTACGTTTGTGAGCCTAAATTCTCCGTTCAACACTGTATACTGTATTAATATATATATATATATACACCTATTTATTTATTGAGTGTACACCGCAGTTTTTTTTCACATTTTGCAAGTGTCATCTTTGCAGGGCTGGAAGGTTTGCCTACTGGATTTGGCATGGAGGATTCTCTGAGCTTTTCCAGGAGACTCTTGGTATTTTGAAGGTCAAATGTTGGCCATTGCAGTGGTCACATGTGGTCACCAGCTTTGGTTCAACAAAACAGCCCCGGTTGGAGCTTTTGGCTCGAAAAAGGGAATCTTGGAGGAGCTCTCGAGCAGTTGGTCTGGAATGAATGGAGCTGAGCAGGCGAGGAGTTTCTTTGAGCGCGGTTGCAGCCCGCACTCTATGGACACCTTTGATAGGCATTGTTGGCTGCAATCAGTCAGATCTCCGGCATCATGCTGCTGTATGCCTTGACTTGCGCTATGGCAGCTTGGTTGAAGTGTTTCTTTTGATTTGCGCTATGGTCTGAGTGTCTTAGCTACAGGTGGTGGCAGATATGGTCGAAGGAACCTACTACACCAACGCAGACTCCAAGGCTCCAATCACAAGTCAGCGCCCCTACAGCCAGAGTTTGTTGCAACAGCCACGCCTTTCCAGACTTAGGTGCTATGCACATCAACCCAGTTGCCGAAAGGCAAGAGGCAAGGGCTTTGAGATTCAGTCAAGGTGAGGTCTCAGAGATTTAACAAGCCTTGTTGCAGGAAGACGAGCTTGCTTCCCAGAGTCTCGCGCGTGCAAGCATTCAGAAGATGATTGGTGCAGGGAGTGCTTGAGTAGTGGTGTAATTTGTCGCCTTTTTTGTAGCTACCTTTCTATCTCAATCTCTCTCTCTCTATATATATATATATATCCCATCATTCTTGTTTCGAAAGGCAGAGAAAGGGCTGAAGAAGCAAGACAAAATAAGGAAAAAATAACTGATACGGTTATTGTACACCGATGCACACCGTATTTCTTTGTCGTTTCCTCCACCAAGGCCTGAGACGCCGAAGGAGCAAGGACCTCCATCGCGTTTGGAGATGCCTGGGCTGCCAGAAGGCTCTTCTACCATGCTGCCATGCTCTCCTACCGGCTTCGGCTGATAAGAGTGTCTAATCGGGGACAGCTGTGTCTCCTGATGCGGTGTTTACATCGACCATCCTTGTCAGGGCGCCGATCCTGGCTATGGCGAACAGGGCTCTTTCTCTATGTCTATGCTGATACAATGCTTTCAGGCCAAGTGCCGCAACATGTCACCTTGCTGGGTCTGGGGCAACATGGCTCTGGAATAATTTTGTTACACTGGCAAGCGCCTACAGAATAACTGATTGTTTTGTTCAGCTGGCTTTGCAGGTTACCCAGCATGCTGTTGCTGGGGCATGGTGCCTGGTATGTTGGCAGGCATGTCCACCCGAGTTTGTCTCAATTCTTTTCTGGATGTTCTATATATAGTATATATTATATACACATGCATATAATGCTACCCCTGGGTACCTAGGATTCGGGCACAGACCGCTGCAATTTCCCAGCACTCAAAGATAGGATGTGCCTTATCCCAGTATGAACCCCATATCATCATAGCAGACTTGTTTCCCGGTTTACCTCATATGATTCAATGACGGTTGGCAGTGTTATGTACTGTCGAAACCTCGTCCTAATAACATCCACAATGCAGCAAACTTGCAATTAAGATGAACACCATTGCTATTGCTCAAAACCAATTCCATGAAACTATAGCACAGCATAGCAAAATCAAGCCTTGCAACACATTAAAAATCAATTCCATGAAACTATGGCAAAGCATAACAAAATCAAGCCTTGCAACATTAAATTAGAAGGATGAACAAAGTTGATGCATCAACTAGCCTTAGATTAGAATAGGATCCTTGTAAATGCAACGTCTTTCCCATAACCCCAACACAGAATCATGGTCTTGCATCATTAAAACTATCCTTACTTTACCTTATGTCCCAATATACGAGCCCGTTTGGGACCCGTTTTGGTTTGATTTCCAGGTGGGCAGGCCAGGTGAATCTAAATTCCTTCAGCACTCGTTGACTTCTCTGTGTCCTTGGGCTTAGAATCAGTTCCTTGTTATTTTGGCAGTCATTGTTTACAGATCGATCAGTTTATAACACAGAGGCGCAACAGAGAGAGCGCGTGGGCGTGGGAATTCAGAGTCTACTTCTCTCTCTCTCTCCTATTATACAAAGGATATGCTTTTTGTTACAGGTTTACTCCTGTGTGCGAACAACTTGATTTAGTAAGTCCTTCATTTTTGCAGAAATCGTCTTTTTCTTTTTAAGTGAGACCTTTATCTTTTCAAACCCCAATAGCGATAGCTTGGGGCTGTAAACTCTTTAGGGGGCTGGGCCTGGGCGGTGGTGTCTTGGTCATGTTTAGGTGCCTTGGTCAGTCATACTTAGGTGGTGTCTCGGTCATGTTTTGGTGGTGTCTTGCTCATTTTGAGGTGGTGTGCTGTTTTTATGGTAGTGTTTTTGTTCTGTTTTGGTGGTGTACTTATTTGTTCTGTTTTGTCGGTTGTCTCGCTTACGTTGAGGTTGTGTCTCGGTCGCCGTCATTGTGCGTGTGTCAATTGTGCGCTTGCGTGTCCATACATCTGGTGCACATTGTGTGCTGGTGCTTAAACATCATACTGCTTGTGAATGTAAAAAGCATACCTCAACATGGAAGAAATTGCTTCGCTTGAGCACGTGGTTGTGCAAAGTGCATTTCCCCAAATCCAAGGTACCAGGCTGGGGGAATACCATGATGTACCATATATATAGGGTATAATTATGTTTTTATTTTTTAAATATATATATATAGTATACCTCTATATATATATATCGCTGTTGTGTGCTTCTGGGTTTTCACTTTTTGGAGGTAGATGTTTTAGTCAGGTCACCTTCAAGCAGTTTGTTTTTGTGGGGTATCAGCAACCAAGGAAAAAAACATGTCAAGGCAGATCAGATCGCATGTGTGTTGGCAAGGCTGGTCCCTGCTCAGACGCGGGACTGACTTTGAGTACATTGCACATCTCTTAGCAGCCTTATCAAGGAATGGCCCTGCATCATTTTCAGATCATTCTTGCTGAGGTGGCAATGAAACCAGAGTGAGGAATAGCGACTAGTGGATCCCTGTTCCTCAATTAAACATTTTGGTGCATGCGATCTTATTGGCACGTGCTTATTTTGCGGTGCAAATAGTGCACCATCCAGCCGTGCTTCGCTGGTGGCTGAACATGGAATGACCTAACTCTGAGCAAAGACACCACCACAATTTGGAGACACCACCATAGATTTTCATACATGCCATAAGAATACTATAGGAACACATTAGTTGCGAAGCTGGTGACCAGATTGTTTTTCATGAACTGGATGACCTATGATGACCTCCAGTTGGGCGACTCCAGGAGCGGGGCGCAAGGGGTGCATCTCACCTGGAGCCCTAAAGCCCTGCCTGTCATCGATGCATGCAGGCATTCTGGTTTGGTCTGCACCAGTCACGACCTTTCTGCACAAAGGTTCGGCCTGCAAGTGTCCAGTGTCCATTAGGGCAGCCTTCGGATGTTTCGCAAGTCTGGCGTCCAAGCAAATCTAGTGAGTCCATTGCAAGGTTGCCCTACAGTGCATAGCATGCTTTTTGCCGTTTGCGAAGCAAGCAATCGAGCGGGCAAAGCATGTGCACACCACGCTGGCGACTGGGAAAGCCGGAGATTGTTTCACAATTTCAAAAAGCGCTGTGGATGCTGGCCTGGCGAAACTCTTCACACAGACACACTAACATGGAAGTGGACAGCTCCCTGCTGGTAGAGACCATCTTCCACTTCCATGTTAGGCAGTCAGACTGTACCGGTTGGCTTGATACCGAAACGCCGAAATCAGCCTTTTAGCTCTCAAGGCTTGTTGTTCCTTTCGGGTTCCTTCGGGTCGCTGTATCACGGTCCAGAGTTGCCTCGCTCATCAAGGAGAAATGCTACTACACTACACCGATGCTGCTTTGAAGGGTAGCAGCAGAAACATGTCGAAAGAAAGATCAGCAAGTGCAACACATGTGGTTTTGAGTTGGAAGGAACGTGCGATGGATATCCGCATAGAAGCTCTTGAGGGGTCATCATCTCAAATCTGTTGAAAGTCGAAACAAAGGCGACATCAAAGGACACTTAGCGAGTGCATCTACAAATCGATTCCCTCGTTGCTCACCGAATTTTGCATGCAAACTACGATATCAATGCCTTTTTTGTGTGCAAGGCCAACTCCCCCAGGGGAGACCTTTGTGTCTATGCGGATTGGAGACTACCAGAAGCAATCCAGCGAGCTCTCCAAGGGACATATATTGCATTATATTAGTGTTATTTCGGAAGCACTGGCTGACATATTCTTGATTTTCCAGAATGCACAGAGTGGCACAGAGAAAAAGGACACTGAACCACTGAACCACTGATGAAGTCAGATGATCGTCAGATGCTTAAGGATTCGGCAGCTTTAAGAGTTACCGCTTTCCACACGATGACGGGAATGGCTTTGCACGGCTCGAGGTGTGGTTCTCCTTTCTTTGGACATGTGCAAAGCACGCAAAGCTCCAAACACATAAGCTTAAAGGCATGCTTGCATTGGCCTCTCCCTGTTGCGGAAGGTCTTTCAGCGCGTTGGCCACCTTTCTGTTAGTCTGGAAAAGCTTCGCTCCAACGATCAAGACGTGCAGGTGGGAATGTGTGCAGATTTGGGTTCATGTGGACGGGCAACAAAGCACCCATATTATCTCCTCATGTGCTTAACCCACGTCATTTGCTTGGCTTCACTTTGGTTACCGTCAATGACTATTGCAAGCGAAGTGTTTTGCAACCTGAGATATGAGTGGGCAGACCTTCGTCACCCAGATACGTAAGGTGATACCGACCCAAAGATCACAAAAGTAATGTGTTTAGATGCAGGCACACAAGTAAGACTTCCTTGGCTGTGTGTCTGTGTGTGCGCGTGCACTTGTGCTTGCTTGCTTGCTTGGTTGCTTCGTTGCTTCGTTTTGCTTCGTTTTGCTTCGTTTTGCTTCATGCTCCAGCGACGCTACCGTTTTCAAGTCAGAGATTGAGTTGGATCAAGTGTTCATAGACCACATTAGGTGCATCTTACAAAGTGACGGGTGCAGGGCCCCATCTATGATCTTGGACTACTTGAGGTTGTTCGCGACACTTACTTGGCATTGTTTGCTGCGATGCCTCATGCCGTATTGTTTGTCACGATGGATCAATGTGCCCTTGATGTGCAAGACATGTATCGGCACACCGTCGGTAGGAAGTAGACTTATGGCCGGAATGTATGCCAGCCACTCTCGTTGGTGCACCGCTCTAAGGCTGCAAGGGCTCAGGTTTGCACGAGATCTAGCAATTGACTAGGACTCTCTTGGAAAAGGCTACCCTTTCCGCGGAAGACAAACAATATGTATCGCGAATAATTGGATACATTTGGAAATCTATGGCAAGCTCGCTCGCCATTCTTTGTGGCATCTTGTGGCAATTTGAATGAAGGGTTGACCCGCACCCCAGAGAAGATGAAGCAAAAGTTTTTTCTGAAACAACTTTCATGCACGAAACAATCATGTTCATCGCAATACAACAAACACAAACGCAGTCCCAGCACGTCCCCCGAGTAGATCCACTTTGCTCACGAAGCAACATCCTGTGCAACATTTTGTTGATGACATTTTTTTTTGACGTTGATACTGTTGATTGTGCATGAAAGCAGCACACCTGTGGAGAGCTTCAGTTCGTAGTGCTTTATGACGCCGCTAGCATCAACTACCAGGCTACCGAATGCTGGACGCCATTCAGGTCCTGGTACATGAACAGCCAAGACAACATTGAGACCGTTGAGAGCCAATATACTGTAGGGATCGAATCAACCGTTGAAACTTGAAAAAAACTTGAAACCACAGCTCCCACCGCCCCCAATGAACCCACACAACATCTCGATTCCGAAATCGTCACAGCAACAACGAATCTATGCTGTGCTCTGAAAATAAACTGTTGAAGATAAGGTTTAAAGTTTGTTAAACACCTCTTAACGGTTTCTGAAATTAACTAGCTACATAGTTTCGCTGGGATTTTTGTGACTGCGGAACATTTGTAGGTAGCACGAGGGATGTACGGGGACAGAAACCGCCCGAAGAAGATAGCAAGCGCCGCACTGCACAAGCCCCCACAGATTCCCAGAATCAAGGCACCGTGTCACGCAAACACAATATCATCACGGACTGTTGCAGAGGACCAAGGCCGCTAGGAATCAGTTACTGCTCAACTACCTTACTTTCTTTATCTCCAGCAATATCGAACGTCCAACATCCTCCAGCCGTCACTCCTTCCTCATCCTACTTCCCCTCTTGTTATCCTTCTCCTTGTCCCTTTGCTCATCCTTGCTAGTAGTCTTTTTTCACTACTCTGTCGCAGATTGCTCGACTTCAATACCAAACGAAGATGTTTTGCACAAGCACCAACTGCTGATTCTGATGTGCAACAGGTTCCTTTGGAGATTCAGGGTCTGAAGTTCTTGCCATTGAGGCAGTCAATTTTGCTGTTGATTTGCGTTTGTTTCCTGTGAAGAAGAGGACTTGACATTTGGCATATTTGGTGTGCAGTGTGCTATTGGGGGCACATGGCTGTTTCGTCTAGGGTTGGGCTCCAGAAGAACTCGGCCGAGGATAAGTCCAAGGCGAAGGCCATGGCACGGAACAGATTTGAACGGATAGAAAGGACTGCTTCGCCGCGTAACCCTACCGAATGTAAATGCTTCACTGCCGGCAGGTGAAGACCCGACTTGATGCCGCACAAAGGCCGAATAGGGTATTTATTCTATATGGTGTTGTCGTGTCGGGGGCCCTCTGTGGACAACAAGTGTCCGCTTGTCCAAAGCAGACAGCTCGCTGAATCTTGCTGGCTGTTACTTTCATGGGTTAACGGTTGTGTTTGGACCTGGGAGGTACTTGGCCCAACATCAACTGGAAGAGATCATTGCTGATGCAATGCGCGAGGCAGTGTACAGCAAGGTCCAAATCGCATGAGATTGAAGTCACTTTGTCGTTTCAGGTGATTCATGAAAAGCCTGACGACCCGTACACCTTCCTCTCAAATGAGATCATGAAACATGTTGCAACCTCAGTGAGTCAACGCAAGGATACAAGGGCACTATTTCTTTTTTCTGGGTCAACGAATTGCGTTGTGGGATGTTGTGGGTTCCTCTGAGGCAAAGAAGCCTGCATTTTTGCCACCACTGCCACTTGGCCAGGCGCTCTTCACACGTTCTGCACTTTTTCAGCTCTGAGGCGGAACGAGAACCAAAAGGAACTGCCCCCAAAGCCTCCAAATGCAGCGAGGCAGGAAAGCTTACTAAGCTGAAAACGCTGACTTACGCGGACATTACTTGCGATTACTTTCAGGCTGGACCAGAACTTGTTCCGTCAGGCCGAAGCCAAATGCCAACGAAAGGCTTCCGCCCATTAGACTTGCCCTCAGCCAGCAGTTTTCTTGCACTTCTTTGCTGCTTTAAATCAACTTCATTGAATTATGACTCCAGATGCTCCTGGAGGGTCTGCAGCGGCTTCAAGCTTAGTGTTGTCTTGCCGGAGCTTCTACTGTTTGACCTCGCTTGAATTACGAGACTGGGAATTCTCTTAGGAGCTGAACAGCCTCCGAGTGGAGGCTCAGTGCAAACAGACTAGATATGTCGCATAGCATTGTTGTCGATGCCACTTCCTAATTGTTTTGATTTGTTGTTGTTAAGACTTCACAATTCCCACAGTTTCGGGAAGACAAGGTTGTCCAAGTTATGACCTTGGACCGCCTGAACAATTACAGGCACGCGATGTCTTGCTACAATCAGCCAAAGATGGAAGCTTGGCAAAAGCATTGGCCAGCGTTCAAAGCTAAGTGTGTGGTGTGGAGAGGTGTTTTGTTTGTTCATTCATTTTAGTGAAAAGGTGAATGTGTGTTTTGACAAGAAAAAGACACGAGCATCAGAGCATCGTTGAAGCCTCTCACCAGCCAATAGGTTAGTTCCGATGATGTGAGAGCCCAAGAGTGAGTTCCGATGTCTTTCTTTTGAAAGCCCGCGAATAGGTCAACCCCCCCTTTCCCTACTGAGGTAGGAAAGCCTTTCCCTACCTTACTAGTACGCTACTACAGACGACGCAGGAAGCCTCACGGTTCTTCAAGGAAGCTCTCCCCGCCCTGTTAGGGCGGTGAGGGAAGCTTTGGTTCCGTTCGTAGCGTCCTCTTGTTACTAGTAAGGCCAGGAGCCCCGTTCGTAGCTTCTAGAGATTTGGTTCCTCAATTTTGTTTTGGGAAACTTAACTAATAGCGATGGCCTCCACCCTAGTACCCAAGACGAGTTGAGTGGAGGAGATGGATGTTCAAACGCTTCAATGTCATTGTCGGTGTGTCATTGCCCCTGCAAGTCATTGCTTGCAGGTAGACATGACAGAACTTCGCAAGGAGGAGCTGCCTCATGTGTGTTTGGTGGTCAAAATCAACACGCGCTAAATAACACTGGCCCAGTGGATAGATGTTGAGAATGTTTGGGAGTACCTCCGGCTGACAAGATTTGATTGACCCCACTTATGCGTGCCTGGGTGTATAAGTCAGCGTGTGTGTGTGTGTGTGGGCGTGCTTGCAGACTTTTTGGTAGCCACTTTGCCCCGTGAGACTGCCCTTGCGCTCATTCATGCAGCGAAAGATGGAAGCTTGAATGTGGCATTGCAAGAGACGGTGTTCGCATCCAAGGAGCTGAAACAAAACGTGGTTCGGAATGACAAGTGCTTGCACGTTTTGCCGTGGGTGGGCACTGGCAGCATCTTGCAGCATTCTTCAGAACATGTGCGCCAAATGTAGGAGGCAGAGTTGGAAGAGCTTCGCCAGCAGGAGCTTCGCGTTTTTGAAACGATTGCTTGCATAGGCCTGAGTTAAACATGCCAAATTGTATTTGCTGTGCGATGGCAAGGCACGAGCAACATTGTTGCAGGGTGCCCGGGACGGGTCACTGCAAGATGCATTGCTGAACTCAAAAGAAGAAGCCGCAGGCTGAGGCTGCTTCTTTCAGCAAACTCTAGACTCTAGACTGCCTGATGCACCATTAACCAAATGTAGGGGCACTCCGCAGTGCATGGTAAGATATCCAGACACGGCCAGAACACAAGTTGCAAATCTTGCTGTGGCCGTTTACCCTATTATCCCATCAGTATAATCAGTCTGGCTGTTCACAGATTCCAGTTTCTGAACGGAATCCATTCAAAAGATGCCTGGAGATGCCTGAAAATACTGTTGACGTGGTAAAACTTAGCTCTTTCCCTCCTGAAACCCATCAGTTCCACATAGACGTGGCACCGAGGCTTCGGTAGAGGCGGTGCGCTTGCAGGCCAAGTCCGCACTCTGAAACTTCCTGGTTCACGGTTGTGTAAGTTCAACAGTGATGTGAGTCTTACTTCGTTTACTGTGAATGAACTTGATGGTATTGGTATGTATTGGATTGTATTGGTTGATTTGCAAGAATGCAGACAAAAACACTGCAGAGATGGAACTCTGACTTTGAGAGGCCCGGGATGCCCTGTTGCGTTCAGCAAAAGATGGAAGTCTTGCAGCCGCTTTGCAGACCCAGGCAGCTAGGAACAAGACAGCTACTAGGAGCAAAGGGCATCGCTACTAGGAGCAATGACGCTACTAGGGGCTCCTGGCATCGCTACTAGGAGCAAGTAAGCTACTAGGAGCAAAGAAAACATGAAGTTGTGAGGTCTAAATGGACATGCAACATAAGTCTGTGGTCATTTGTGGTCTGTGGCATCAGTCACAAGTTAGAAGCACAAGCAAGTGTAGCCCCTTTTGTCAAGAAACATCGCATGCAAGCAGAGTCGTTTTCATCGTCCATCCTCTTTTTGACTCGTTTCACTGGGCTTCCCTTTGGGGCTTCCCAAGGGGCAGTGACGTCCAACCGAAGAAGCTTCTCGACAATTTCGCTTGCCAGGCATCAATTGAGGATCAGCTGAAGGTAGAAGACCTGCGCATTCAGGCGACCGAGTATGAAGACATATTAAATATTATATAAAGCCACCCTGCAAAATTGATCTTCAACGCAGGTCACGTGTCTTTCCCCCATGTTGTGCTGCAGTCTCTTTGCTTGTGAAATAGCAATTTGCTTATACTTTGTAGCAGGCACAAACACAACATCAAAACGATAGCAACAACGATAGCGTTGCTAGTAGTATGGATGAACAGCACCATGGAATACACTGTACTAATGTCGCCATGTCATGTCTGCCAGATGCCACACAGCAGCTGCATGCAGTGCACACAAAAAAGCATACTACACATGTTGCAGTCAAAGCACCGTAAACCTTGAGGAAGAGAAACCAATATAATTACATATATATATATCTATGTATACATATATATGCTACCCCCCCCCCCCAAGTACCCCCGTTTTTCTTCAAGTGCATGCAGATAGACCAGATGACTGCATTTTCATGTCACAGCAAAAAGACACTTGCATATGTATTGCGTAGGATGCACCAGATGACAGCAGACGATACACTTACAGTTGCATGCAATTGATGGATATAATTGATCATGTGAATGTCAAAATTGTCAACTCAATTTGTTTCATTGGACTTGCAATTCAACTATGAATCTCATGGTGCACAAGTGTGAAGACCCCACAAAAAGAAACATAACAATTTACAGAAGAAGTTGTGTACATGACAATGAACAATATTATATATGAGCACTCCAATTCATACTGTCAGTTGCCCCCAGTGCAAATGCACGTATGATATATAATTGATGAATACAACTGATTATATGAGTTGTTAGTTTTTTGTTACACTGCGACATTACATTTAAACAACTCAACTTTGGAATTTATAACTTTATATTTGTGACAGTCACAAACATTGGGTTTGCGCAACTGGAACATTGACCTGCATGCTTTATAATTGTGAATATCACAGGGTTACACATAGAATTTGCAGAACTATTTGTGTGCATGGCGTCTGATATTATTGTATAAAATGAGTTCGTTTGCCCATCACTCAAGTCAAATCGTCTTCATGGATCGTGAAGGCATCACTCTTCACTGAATAGGCCTTAATATCATTTTCTGAAAGTGTTTTCTATGCTTCATACATTGAACAGTTATGATATTGAAGCAGCAACCCTTTTATATCTCTAAGCCCATTGACTAATATATTTCTATTGGTAGTGTTTAAGGTGTAATAGGTATTGCATGTGTGTTTATTATTTTCTTTTTCTTGTTGTCTGGCATAAATCCTTCCTCCAAACTCACTCTGGCAACAGCATGCCTCCCTCAAAGTGTTAAAACAGTAGCTCTTCTGTGCAGTGTGGTGTGATGTTTATAGCATTCCAAAGGTGATGTTTCCTACTTTTTTGTCATCTTTAGTAAGATCGGTTTCCCATAGTTCATTAACAAGCTGGTCATAATTGACCTTATGAATGCATGAAGGAGTTTTATAACAAAAAATGTTTTCATTGTTTGCTTGCAATAGGTTTCTTAAGAACTTTCCATGTATCAAGTTATACCTCTTATTGAGAAAAAATCCCCGTAAAAATTTCATCCATAGAATCAGTCCCCCCAGGCTCCTGCATAGAACGGTTCTACGAACTACCAGGCTCTCCAGAAGAGAGTCCAAAAGTGGGGGACCACTCAATTTATGGACAGCCCTTTTTGGGTGGACTCCTATCCATTCTATGGAAAGGCAATCTTCCTATAATCTCAGATCAAAGGCTGTTTCAGGTGCTGGACTCCAGCCATTCTATAAGCACAGCATTCTTGAGAAGAATACTAAGGAAAGAACTAAGGAGACTCCTGCTGGCGTTCATGGGCCTTAGCTTGGGCACGCCCAGCCCACAAAAAAAATAAAGAAGCACTACTTGTAACTAGTGCAAGGAATGATTGCCTCGTTGCAGGCACTTGACCCTTTGCTTCCGCATGTGCCGGCGGAAGTCCGGCAACTAATGCTGGAGTCTGCTAGTACGCCGAAAGGTGTAAAATAGCGCCGAAAGGTGCAACTAATCTTCTTTTTCTTTAGGAAACGTTGGGCTCAACTTCCAGTGTCGGCTATTAAAATCCGACACTGGCTAAATAGGATTTTTTTGTGTGTTGCCAGTTCTGACCTTTTCCAGCACTGGGTGTGTGTTGTGTGTATTACTTCCAGTGTCGGCTATTAAAATCCGCCACTGGCTAAATGTTTTTTTTGTGTGAATCGTAAATCCTTTATGCGCTTAATTCGCGACATTTGCCAGGGCACTAAGGGCTCAATCAACACTTCCACTTTTGGAAGATCTGGCTGATGAGAGTTGTTTGTTTGACTGAGTTTGCTTGACATTTTTAGTGAACAGACTGTTCATGAACTTTTGTGTTTGGGTTTTGTATGGTTTTGTTGTGCCCGGAGCCCTGGTGGTAGTTTTTTGGAATGCGGGATTGTCTAATGGTATATGCTGAGAATATACACTTAGCCTAGAGCAGAACATAGACAGAGACATACAGAGACCGTGCACAGCAAGAGTGAGAAAAACTGCCTACATTTCGTTGCCAACATGACCCCTTATAAAATGGTTTTTTTTGGTGAACTGTGCGCTTGAGCGTTTATCTTGACACAATGAAGGTCTGGAAGGAGGGTGGGGTAAACCATTTTTGGTTAGGCCATTTTTAGGTTATAGGTCTACAAAGACATCATTTTGGTTGGTTTTGGTTGGTCTGGGCTCGCCATTTTATAGTGAGCTGGTGTCCATCCTGTTAGCTGGGGTCATCCATTCTATAAAGCAGAAAAGGTGGGGGAAACCATTTTATTACTATAAAATGGTGAGTCCGGACCGACCATGGGAATTTCAACGGGGATGAGAAAAACATTTGATGCCTTCACTTCCACTGTATACAATGTAAAACTAGATAATTTGCCAATGTCAATGTCATCACTGTAATGGTTCCAACTCTATATTGAAAACCGGTATGAATTTAATCTGTGCAAATGCCCATGTAAAGACTTCAGTCCTGTCAATCTCCACCAGTTTTGCTGTATCAATGTTTTTATCCAAATATTCTGATGGGACTGTAGTCCTACAATGTGTTTATCAAAATAACCTGCTGGGACTATAGTCCTACATTCATCCTGCAGGTCATGAAAGACACGCGCAAATCGACAAGTGTACCTGAAGCCGTTTCAAGATCGGACAAAAAGGTCCGAGGGTTCGAGCAGGTTATGAGCCCAACGCAGGTGTAAGACCTCATCGAGAGTGGGGCAGCCCCTCACACGTGCTGCCATGGCCATGAGGCGAAGAAGGCGACAGCAGCCGGGCGAAGACGACGCTGCGGAGCTGGCGGCAGAGGGCGAGCTGCTGGCTGATGGAGAACATGAAGAAGGTGAAGGAGAGCAGCTGGCTCTAGAAGATGGGGAAGAAAGGGAGTTCCAAGGTCCAGTTGGAAGGCCGACGAGCCTGGGGCCATCGACTACGCCTTTGTTCTCGCCTGAGCAGCTTCGAGACCTTCGAGAAGTTCAGAGCCAAGCGCCCCATCTGTACGCCAAGGTGCCTCGAGAGAGCGTGTGGCGACCTGGAGGAGAACTACATGATCCTCGAGGACCAACTCAGCAACAGAGTACCACGACGGGCACTCCGTCTCCGCTTCCTGGCCCAGGGCATGGGTCTGGGGAACCTCGAAGAGGCGTTCACCGGATCAACAACTCCCTGAAGTCGAAGAGCCGGAGGAGGGCGATGGAGATCGAGCTCAGGTACCAGATCAACTTGCTGTTCAAGTACGAGGTGATGGACCAGGACATCGAGATTGCTTGGCACTCAAGGGATATGGAAAGGGTCAACCACCAGGGTATGTGATGCCTCATGATGAAGGAAGGAGAATTCCACTACCTCCAGGAGGACCACATCTACAAGGTCAAGGTTTTGGTATGCCGTACCAACATCAAGGGGGTTGGCAACATGGGCACCACTATGGTGCAGGCCCGCCTAATCCACAAGAGATGATGACTATGCTTGCGATGCTTCGACAAGAAAATCAACAGCTTCGGGTGGAGCAGGCCGAAATGATGGATGCCATGAAGTTCCAACGAGCGAGTCTGGAAGCTAAGGTGTACGACCTTCAGCAGGAGCTGGAGCAGCAGATGTTTCGCACGCCGGAGAGTGGGGACACTGTGAAGCGCCATCTCGAGATGACAGCAGGTGAACAGGAGAAGGAGATCGACCTGGAGAAGGAGAGAAAGCGCCTCTACGAGCTGACGCCAATGCAGCAGTTCGAACAGCTTCAATCCCTCATGGGCACTCCTGCACCTGGCAAGCGTGGAGGTCGAGGACATGGACAACGAGAACGCTCAAGGTCAGCGCAAGGGCCGAGAGCATCAGGTCCTGGTGAGGAGCAATCCAAGGGCTCAGTGGCAGCGAGAGCCAAGGCCTATGAAGAGGAGCTTCGACAGGGCAATGGAAAGGGGGTTGGTCAATCTCGGAGGAGATCTACGACGACGCAGCCCATTCAACCTGAGGCCTCAGGAAGTCAAGAAGGGGTCAAGGGTGAGAAGATGATGGAGGTCATGGCCAAGCTGGTCAACCATCTTGTGGAAAAGGAGAGCCGAGACGGCGCCCCAGAGTCGGTGAAGCCTGGGACAGTAACACTTCCTATGCTTCCTGAACCAACAGATTCGGCGCCAATTGACCTGGCTGATTGGCTTACGCTGATTGAGCCGGCGACGACAGATTTGAGCGACTTCTCAGGGCAGTGGTGGGAACTGGTTGTTAGTGAAGCACGAAAATGGTACAGTCATTACATCCATCTTCGACCACTTCAACGAGCCAACTGCATCATCGAGCCCTCCCTGGAGTTGCAGAAACCCAAATGGGTGCGCGTGGAGAAGCGCGCTATCAGCATGATGCTTGCAGCCGCGCCGACAAGTGTGAAGGAGGAATTGGTGGCTACTCGGGCACTTTCTCCACTAAGGCTGGTCAGCAAGCTCATGGTCTTGTATCAACCGGGTGGGGCGCATGAACGTT